AATTTGATGACAATTACCAGTTTGCGAATCCTATCGAGAACAAGGTCAACAATTTCTTTTCCGATGGTGTAATGACCTCGGGCATAGTTGTTGGCTGCATCTTCTTTGCCGGTGATAAGTTGCTCTGGGTGGAAGAGCTGTCGGTAGGTGCCAGTCCTTACCTCATCTGCGAAAGATGAAACGAGCAAATTACAAAAAAATCCCTGTAAAACTATAAGTTATCACTTTATAACACCTTGAGCTCCCGCTACATGTTTACGCGCGCTGTTTGTAATTTCAAATGTAAGCGCGCTTTATATCGTATACAACAGTTGTAGAAGGTCTAGTAAAGACGAAACTGGTTTCGCTCAAACAAAATTTTGTGCTTTCTGTGCGTCGAAGGAGGGATAATAGTTATTTGACATCCTCTAAAATGAACTTTAAGAAACTCCTCTTAAATCCAAATACAACAAATGTCAAGAAAGAAAATAGCCGAAAAACCAATAAAAAATTGAACAAAAGTTGAGGTCAACGCTGATATTAGCGATATAAATGACCAGTAATAGTAGTGAAATAGTGGATTGTGTCATTTACCTACTACAGTTGGCTCCAAGTCGACAAAAACTGCCCTAGGAACATGTTTTCCTGCACCAGTTTCACTGAAAAATGTGTTAAACGAGTCATCGCCACCACCGATCGTCTTGTCACTGGGCATTTGACCATCAGGCTGAATYCCGTGTTCAAGGCAGTACAACTCCCAACAGGCATTACCAATCTGGACACCAGCTTGCCCGACATGTACTGAGATACACTCACGCTGTAAAAGTAGACAAAAAAAGAAAAGGGCCGGTCTAATTCATTTGTTGTCAAGCTGACCGTTGGGTGGGGATTTGCCGTTTTTAGACACCAACCGCGAAAAAATGTCAAAAACGGCAAAAAATGCACATATCTTGAATTGAAGAAGAGAGTTTATCAACTTACCATTTTGTTTTGTATAACAATTAAGTTAAAAAAGATGAAAAGAGGTTTTTTGAGGAATATGAAGACTCCGCTGAAGTAACGTCTACGAACAGCTCTTGAATCTTTTGAAAAGATGAAAAATCGTTGCGATGACGACCATTATACGTCATTTGACGATGATTGACATCAGCAGCAAACAGGTTTGTCGTACGTCATGTCCTATAAACTCTGAAAAAAGGGGATGAACTTACACCACAGATGCAGATTTTTTGGAATATTTGACATACGCTTTACTCTGCTTATTCAATTCTTCTTGAATTGATGATAAACTTGTAGCTGTGCGTCTACTTCCATTGTACGCGCGCGTTTTCCGAAAAACCGGTTTTTGCAGAGAAGCAGGTAGCCCAAATTATGAGAAAATAATTTATTTTCCCTCAGATAGGGAATTTATGACCGATACTAATAACGTCTGCAAAGGAGGTTAGCTTTACTTATCAGAAAAAAACCGATTCATAAGATGATTTTGATAAGAAATTGAACAGACTTTGACTTGAAAATTGAGGTTAACATGAAAAGAAAAAAGCAAAAGAACTCATACATCAGCCACACCCCAATATACTAATATAAAGAAAGGAAAAGAATTCCCTCACCCCAAAAAGATAGAAAGAAGGAATTGGAATATGTTTTTAAAGAGACTGCAATGATATGAGTTTCAAAATCTAAATGAATTCTATATTTAGTATGAATGAATTTTTTTATTTAGATTTTTTGGCAATTTTTTGGGCTATTACAATGATGAGATAGGGAGAGTAAAGTAAATCTTTAGCTAGAAGCAACCTWTATCACAGGGTAATGGCCACTGATGGGTCACAAACATTGGTATCAAATAGTCTATTTTTCCATGAGTTCATCTTCATTTTCCTCATCTTTCTTTGTTGATCCTAAAGATGATACCATCTTTAATGGACGGCATGTCATTGTTCGCAGGTTTACCAAAACACATGTCTTACTGGTAGAAAAGTCAGGAACCATTACAAGGAGGATTTTTTGGTTGCTTGATCCTAAAAACAGGAAAAGAAATTATGCTTAGCTAGASAGTACATACATAGGGACATAGGCACCTATGAGCTAATTGATTTGAACATTTTATCTCATCAAAATGAAATGAAATGGAGAAGAAMAAACTTGAAATGTAAATGGTGAATGTGCCGCTCAATATCAAAAACAAACTTGATAGTTGTTTTGCATACATACTCACCAGTTAAGATCTTGGAATCATATTTAGGTTGGTTTCCAACAAAATACAAGTGTGGGCACTTGTCCAGAATGAATGGATCTTCATCATAGTATGGATAACAGCCTGCAAAATGAAATGGCAAAAATTCACACATTAATTAAAGATTGAYATGAATTGGAGTACAATAGGAGTTCTATAACACAAGTCTTTCCTGACCTAACGTATCAGGAGCAGTTGGTGCAATATGTCCACTTATCATGTTTTGCTCTAGAATATCCATGTTGTTTTGATATGTGGTAACACGATAGATATCATTCACATTCTGACCTGACGTACCAAGAACCCTAGTAGAATGAAAAACACATCTGAGTTTTGGTGTTTACAGTAAAACAATGCCAATAAAACAAACAATAATCTATGTGTACCTTACACCACCTATTACTGCCTCATAAGGATTTGTAACACTTTGCATTGTGGGATATGCAATAGCTTTTGGAAACATACAGGGATGGAGAGGTTGCTGAGGTAAGTTGTGGTTTGTAGGATCAAACTCTCCAGCCATAACATCAACTGGGATGCACTCCTGAAACATGAAAAGGCTACTTGAATACATTTTTGTATTTTTGTATGTTTAATTTCTTTGTAACTATCACTTTTTCCATAAAGAGACAAATGCATTAAAAACACTTACTGCAAGTTGAAGTGCAAAATCATCAAATTCTTTGATAGCATCCACAGTACCAGCTACTATATTTCTTGTCAAATATTTAGCCTGTAGGAACATAATGATTTTAACAGAAAAGTACAAATTAAGTAATTAACTATGCTTTACTACTGTTTTTCTTTCTGTCAGTATCTTACCTTTGTTTCACTCTCCTTGTCCTGAGTACATTGACTTAGTGAGTTGCCAGCAATGATAAGCCTTACTATTTTACAAGATGACTCTTGGTCCTAAACCAAAACGACATATAGATAAAGTATTATTTCATGGTTAAACCATGGTTTTGTTATCACCCCTCACAGGTCAAAAAGTATCATATATTATCTAATGTATTACCCAGTTAGTACAAATGAGTGATTTTTCTAGAATAATATATAAATATCTAGAAAAGCACATCTAATATCATTATATTACATGCCTGTTTACTTCCAAGATCTCCAGTTATCAAGTCAGTTAGCATTTGCAAACTTAGTATATCTTGATTTTTGCTACCAAACCCAAGGCATGATATAATGGCCAGATATCTGAAATAAATAGTAATACTTGAGACACTATTCACCAGACATCATATGGTCTTAAATTACAATTTTACAACCAACAGCAGTTTAACATCTATACCTATCTTCACCATCTGAAATTTCTTTGTCAAGATCAGCAGCAACTTGGTATGGTAAACCACTAAATGTCATGCTTTCAACTTGAAACTTCCCTTCATCTGTTGTATACCCCTTCAATGACATCACAGTGCCTGTATCAAATTACAGGAAATGACATCACAAATCATAAAAATTAGTAATAATTGAATCAATTTTAAATTGAAGTGATGATGTTTGTGGAGAATGAGATCAAATATTTTTAAAAATCATATTAATATTGATTAAATGTTTGTTTAAACACACAATACTGCCTCTCCTTAGAGTGTCAATCTCTATCTACCCTGCCTGACATGAAGGCACAATCAAGAAAACAATAGAGGATGGTTACCCTTCTAGTATAGTGACCCTATCTATAGAACCCTTTAAAACTTCTAGCTATTTACCACTTATTGACGTCCCTACAGGAATATTTCCTGTCAAGACGACTCGTTGTGTTTCATCCTCCATTACCAAGACATCTTCATCATCTGCGTATTTGGCTCTAACAGGCTGGATCAAGAGATTCTCCTGGAAAACAACATACATTTCAAGCACTAGAAAACATGTTAATATATGTACAACACTCACCAAGAAAATTGGCATCAAGACCTTTCTATTTTTACCATTTTGCATTTATTTAAATATTACAAAAAAATACCTCAGCACTAATTTCCTTGAGTATCGAGGGCTTCAGTTCCATCTTTTTAAAAAGAGTTCCAACAATAATACACGGTTCTCCATGTTTTAGTTCTGACAATTTTCTGATGGGAAGAGAGCTTCCTACATGAAGAATTAAAGTTACACTCTGTCTCAATAATTCAGGTAATTATTACAATTTTGTCAGATTTTCGTGTCGAAAACTTACCCCACTCCTTCCTCGCCGCTGCAGCTAGTTTCTTTCTCATTGTCATTAGTCGTACAGCATAAATTTGTGCAAACTGACGAAATGTTCTGTCCTTCAAACGAAATCTGTCACTGCTGTTCGAATACGAACAACTTGCTCGTTCCAAACGATCAGATTCATCAACCTCATCACAATTATTTTTCGGTTCTGAAAGAAATACTTCTGCTTTCAATCCAGTGCACTTTGTATCTGTGTTATCGTCAGCGAACATTTCAAAAGTCTAGTCGATTTCGCCTTCTTCGTTCTCTTTCCTTTCCCGCCAAATTTATGCCGCTGACCGTGAGAGTCTGCAGTCAGTTAACTCGTGGATTAGTTTACTACAGATTTATTTTAATTATTGAAATCAAAGACCAACATTGCACTATTGTTATATCTATATTTATGAAAACAATTTAACAGATCAGATAACTTTAAGCCCTTTTTGACTTCTTTAGGGGAGCTTCATCTGAAGAATCATTTTCCTCTGATTTATGCTTTCCAATTTTTGGGAGAATTTCTGGAAATAATTTGGATGCAGTAACAAATGTCCACAAGGTAAGTTCAACTTTGTGCTCATTCCACTGTCCTTTGGGATCTGAAATTAACAAACTTAGTCAATTTGTATTATGGCTGAATGCTACAAAAGTTATGTACAAATCATTCTAAAATAATGTTTATCAAAGTTAAATGAAAGCTATACTGACCAATTCTTTGTAATCTTGACAAACAAGTGCCCCTTATCTGCTCAAGAAACATTTTATATGCTTTTGGGGTATATTCAAGCTTTGATTTGCCAACAGGTAGTGCCATCATTGCCTCATCTGCCATAAAGGGGACTTCTGGACAACCAGCACACAAAATAGCTTAAAATAAAATAAAATAAAATAATAACATTTTACTCTGCTAACTATCAGATTTGATGTTTGTAAAGTAAATGATTGATGATTGCATATTATCATATCATCATCATCAATAATCTACTCTGCGAACAGAGGTTCTTTTCTCACCCGCCGAGAAGCGAGAGAAAAATAATATAAAAATATTTTTCTCTCGCTTCTCGGCGGGTGAGAAAAGAACCTCTGTTCGCAGAGTATCAATAATCACAATAGCAGCATTTAACATCCTAGCCATTTATTTTAATTTTGCTCCCTTACCAGATGCAGTTGCAGGACCCACTCCTTTCAATTCTGACAACTTTTTAACAGCTTTCTCTACATCTGGTAAGTACTTGAAACCTTGTGTTGTGTTGTCAATCACAATCTCTGCTGTATTTGATTTAATCAATTCCATTAAACGAGGTCTGAATTTTCCTCGCTGATAAATAGAAATACAATAGATAGTTTTCATTATGAGCTACAATTATTATTATATCAAATATAATATAACTTCAGACAACAAATAACTGATATCAACTGATACAGTCAACTCTCTTGTAAGCAACCACCTCGGGATCAGGAAAAAGTGGTCACTTACAAAAGATGGTCGCTTACGAGGGAGTTTTTCTACAAAGTTTATATGTGAAACAATTATAACGTGAAATTTAAAAGGTGGTCGCTTAAGGGATATCATATGGTTGTTTCCAAGATTGGTCGTTCAGAGAGAGTCAACTGTACTTGATGAATTCGAGTTCACACATTCTTACCGATAGTTTCCACTGCATCAGTTTTATTAATTCATCTTTATTGAGATACTTGTCTTTTCTTTTCATAATGACAGTTGGAAGCTCKTTTTGGTACCTTAAACACATACACATAAGCAAATAAAAATCAAAACTTTATGAAAAACAATTTCTTATCAGTAATCCATAAATAAAACTCGAAAACATGCAAGCAAGTATTTTGGTAACTGCATTTTGAATACAATTGTGTATATATCAATTAAAAAAGAGTTAGAATTTCTGTATAGAAATTAAATCAGCTGACTTATAAACCTGCGAAGTAGTAACAAGGTAAGCTTAATTTATGCACGAATAATAAGAAAATKACCACTTATCCAACTCCAACAATTCCTTAGCCTTTTCCTTTTTCTTCTGTTCTGCGCATTTCTGAAACACCTGTTCGTAGAGAGCAAAAGTTGCTTTCCAAACATCAAGAGAAGCACCAATCAGATTTCCCGCCATTTTTGTTTCATACTGAAGCCGCGTTTAGATCGCAGGCTCAAAACATCCGGGATATTTCAAATTCACACTCTGGATATTACAATATTTTCAAGTTGAAAGTCAAATTTTCGGTGTAAAACTCGCGATTTCTTTCATTTGAAATACTCTCAAATGCCAGATGCGTTAAGAGAGAATAACAGAATGTTTCTTWTGTCTCTCAACTAAAGAAGAACGAATATATAAGTTATCAACGGGAATATCAACAAGATCAGAGTGGACGATATCTTGTTGAAGTTTGCGTGGCAACCGAGTTTTGTGTTTACATGAGGGGTGACTTCGAGCGAAAATTAAGGATTTAATCTTAAAACAAAGAAAATATCCCGAAGGATTGCTGTTGCATATACTGTTATGGTTWTCCAGAAATTGTCATAATTTGAATGGTGGTGAAGCTTCAACACAAAGATTCTCAAGTTGTCAGACGAGTTTGCTAAAAAARRAWKGGRA